TATATAATATTTTAATAGACTCAGATAAGTGAACCTACATAGGTCATTAATTTATTGTAATTAATGTAACTTGTCACCTCAAGGTGACAAGTCCATTTAAAAAAAATTAAATTATAAAAATAAATTAAATTTTAAAACTTTAAAATTTTATAAACAACGTAACTCGTCATTACAAGGTGACGACTTCCTTCAAATGCAAAAAAAAGTAGTCGGTAATAATCATTAGTCAACGAGCAACAACAATGGTCACTTGAGACATGGAACTCATCAACTCGAAGTGATGAGTTTCACCAAATTAAATTTTAAAAAGTTAATTAATTAAAAAGTAAATTAATGATTTTATTAAAAAACAATGTTCACAAACTAATATGTACATAATAAAATTTATTTATATTTTTTAAGTTCTTGACGATGCTAAGGAGGGGTCGAATGATAATGGCACGGGACTAACCAAATACGTCAGGTTTGTAAGCCTTGATCGTCATCATCTTCATCTTGGTTTGATTGTTCAAAAGAATGTGTACTTAACACAATCTGAGATCCACCTTCAGAATACAGTGATGGGCTTATGGTATTTGACATCACCATTGTCGTTACTGAATCGACTTTGCTACCTTGTTGACTTCATATGATATGATCTTATTCACCCTCATCTGCATGTTATGTCGAAAATGCTTGAGTGTATTTCATTGCATCCCATGAAGCTCCAACATAAGTCAGCTGAGTCTCGGTTGAAGTATGATATCCAATATAGAAACTGAAACTAGCCTGAGATGCACAATAGTAATCATCAAATATAGATGCTAAAGTAAAAGAAGAATATGACAATGATTTCTTCGACTTGGCAAATATGGTCTTGTGTTGTTCTCATTCTCTCTTCTCTTTCGCTATGGTGGGATATGGTTTATTACTTGCTTCGTAATTTCGAAGATAGGAAGAATAGTCAAAATATAGGTCCATCGGTGTAATCTCGTAACTCACAGGATCGATAATTGACGATGATTCTATTGCTCAATGTAGACAGCTCACTTCCTCAGTCAATCTTCGTTATGTTTCCTACGCAAATCAATTCTATGGAGCACGTCTATATCTCATATTTGCATAGGAATCAGTTGATGAAACACAAAATGTCGTAACACTCTATCAACGGGGTGCATCTCAATAATCGAAAAATATAATATAGGAGTCACGACACACCATAAATCGAACCCATAAAAAGATCTCGGTGGCAATAGACAAATCTCTTCATCGCAATATGGAAACCAATAAAACTGTAAATATTAATTATAAAAGTTAGTATATATAAAGTTAAACAATTTCAAAAAAATAATAAAAGAACTATTATTTATCGTATATCAATCGATGATGTCGATCCTCATCCGTATATCACTTTTAGTAGCAGCTGATAACTTCGTATCGGTTATTTTATGGCGTTATATAAAAAATATAAAAAAATGATTAAAACATATATATATATATATATATATATATATATTAAAAAATTAGTTAAAAAGTGAAGTTAAAAAATTATCTTCCTGCCAAAGAAAACTCAATTGAGGCTGATGAAATTGGCGTAAAAAACGATAATTGATATCAATTTCATGATTGTAGGAATATTAGACAACCTGCTACATCGGCTTTTAACCCCCGGGCGACGATTGTAGCCTTGTAAAGCTCTCAATACAAAAAGACTAAAATCACAGAGCCTTAACTGATATTATGACACTCATCGAAATTATTTAATATAGGAAGAAATAGAGTGTGCGCCAAATGATCAGATTTATCCGGTTCTGGTAATAATATCCCTCTTATCATTTGGAGAAGATATGTTCGGGATGCAAAAATAACCTTCTCCTCAGTAGAGTCGTCTGTCACTAGAAATTCGGACTCTAACCACGTCATCTGTATCTAATAGTCGTCCATGACATCAGATGGTGGCAATCTTCCTAAAACTTCGTGGACCTTCATGATGGAGTTGTAATCATTCTACTTGACGACGACGGTATCATTCATAGAAACACTGAGTTGATAAGTGATATCTTCCAAAATAATTGTCGCTTTAGTGTGTATCTGGGGCCTACAACATTCAATCAGACTCGAAATCAATATCAGGTACACCTTAAAGCCACTTACACATATGGTTGGATATAGACTGGATTGATGAAGATATATCATCATCCGCTTATGAGGATCTCTCAATGTTATCCTGTGTTGATGAATGCTTTGTTCTTTTTCCAGACGGAGTTCAATCGATGAAATATGAACATTATCGAGGCATAACATGTCATCTTGGAAAGCCATTTTTCAAGATTTATTTAGGAAGTGCGAACTTTGCTCAAATTTGTTCGTAACAAAGGATGGTAAAAAACCTAAACCCCAAACCCCTATTTATAGCCCCAATCCCAACAGCTATAATTCAAAAATCAGGCGGAACTTGTCACGTCGAGGTGACGAGTTCCATGGGGACCGTTGTTGTTACCCGTTGACAAAAGGCTATAAACGATACTCTTTTTTTAATTCGAATGAACTCATCACCTCAAAGTGATACGTAATTTTTTTTAATTTTAAGTTTTAAAATTTGAATTATTTTTACAATATTTTTTAAAAATATCTTTTAAATGGACTCGTCACCTAGAGATGATGAGTCGCATTAATTATAATAAATTAATTACCCACGTGGGGTTCACCCATTTAGGTATATTAAAATATTTTATCTAATCGAACTCGTCACCTCGAGGTGACGAATTTCAACATCAATGTAGCATTTGTTGCATTCTCCAAAGTAAAAAACTAGGTGCCCTAATAAGCTGAATAAAAAAACCGAGTGTCCTATTGGGCTGAAAAAACCACCCAAAACCACCACAGGTAATTTTAGCTCAATATCGTATGTGGGCTAATTATTTAGCTTACAACACAACAATTTATTTAAGAATGTACGATATTTATTACAATGACTTGGAACTTATCACGTCGAGGTGATGAGTTTCAATAAAAAATAATTTTTTATTCAAAATTTTTACCTTGATGTGATAAAATTTAATAAAAAATTATATTTTATTATAATTCATCACCTCGACTTGACGAGTTTGAATAAAAAATATTTGGACAAACTAATCACCTCAACGTGACAAGTTCCTTGAACAATGTAATAAATATCGTAGATCCCAAAATAAACTTTTATATGTCCTATTACACTAATTAATAAAATTGTTAAAAAACAAAAACAAAACCACATGCTTTTTGTTATGTTTCGAAATGGAAGACATCTTGGGCTAGTTGGTCCAAGTCAACAGTTGTTGTTCCTAAAAGTTGTAGCCCAAAAGATACCTAAGACATTGAAGATCTTTTTTAAATAAGTTGAAGGGGATGAGTGTTCTTCAATGATGGAATTTGAGATTTGTGTCATTTGAAGATTTAATAATAAATAATTTATCACTTACATGTAGTACGTAATTTAGTCACCTTAAGGTAAAATTTTAAAACTTAGATTTAGAATTTAGGGTAAGAGAAAAAATATGTAATAGTTGGATTTTATCCTGATACAATGGTGATGTTTGAATGATGTATGGGGCATTGGTGTCAAGCAAAATGGTCTAATGCAAGGTTATCGATCACTGATTTTGTGATGTAGAGCAAAGTTAATAGAAGGTAGATATGTAATTGAGATGAGACATATCGAAAGTTATTTAAGTTTTGATTCGAGTTTGAATTTAAGTTAAATTTGACACTTTTAAATTCGTAAAGTTTTAAGATGAGTTGAACTCAACTTTAAGTTTTTCGAATTGAGACAAACTCAATAATACTCGGACACGAAAAAACTCGTTCGCTGCCCCAGTAGATGGTACCCCTCCCACGGATTCTCTAAAATTTAATCTGCATGGTGCGGTAAATGGGAGCTACGCGAGAGCTGGAATTGGTGGCATCTTAAGGGATCATCATGGAATTGGTGCCGGCAAATCCCACATTTCATGTTGGGAGAGATCTCAAAGGGATGCCTTTTTTTTATCCCAACCAAATCCTCAATTTCAGTTAACAAACCCATATAATTTTAATTAAACAAAGTCCGTACACACCATATGCCACCCAAATTTGGTTTGCAGAATAGGGTTCATTATATTCATTTAAAAGGCATTGACCAAAAAATAATAACTTTTAATTATTAAAATGGTATTCTATTTTGGCTTCAAAATAATTGTGTTTTTATTTATTATTTTTCTATTGTAAAAGAAGCTGATTTTTTTTTAATAAAATTCGATGGTCCACATTTGTCTGAAAATTGCAATAAAAATTCACAAGACCAGCAATGAAGATGAATAAAAAAATAGTAATTATTGATTCCTAAATGATTCCCAACACAGTGCACATGGCCTTTGCTCCACCTTATCATCTTATTCATGGATCTTGTTTATTTGTCCCTCGATAAGGGGTGTATTCGGTTTGATTCGGTTTTTTATTAAAAATTAAATCGAATTGAAATAAACGGTTTTTTAAAATTTAAACCGAAACCGAAATCGAATGGTTAAAAAACCGAATGATGTGAAATCGATTTTTTCGGTTCGGTTCGATAATGCGGTTTTTTTCGATTCAGTTAGTCGGTTTTTCAATTAAAAATTCATTTGAAACTATAAATTCAAAAAAAATTTGTCTATTCGGTTCAATATAGAACAAATGGGTTCTATATGAAAAAACCCAAACCTCAATAGAATTGATTCTTTAAATCAACCCGAAACCGAACCGTTTAAACGTAAACCCGAATCGAACCGAAACGTTTTACTCAATTCATGTCGATTTTCTCGGTTTCGTTGCTCAACCCTACCCTTCGATTATCAAAAAGTATTATAAAATTAATTATTATAATAATAAATATAAATATAATGATTCCAGAGAATCTTTCCATACATTACATTAAAAAATATTATGGAATGGAGTGAAAAGAAAAACACCCAGACAACCAAAAACACATATTTTTAAGATACTGTTAAACAAACAATTGAAAGAAAACATTTGATATTTCTACTTTAAAATCACCAAATTACATTTCTCATAATATTTTTTTGATCTTTTTTTCTTCTTGCTTGATCTCGATTAAGCCGGTTGGGCATACGGATTGATTTTGATTGAGATTGTTGTTGTTGAACCACTTCAGCATCTGTTCTTGCACTTCTCTACTGCTTTTGGTGCTGCATTAGTACCATGAAAAATTAAAACAGTGGTTAATTATCACATAAACAAAATCTTTAAAAAAAGTTTTAACCTAACTTAAAACTCAATAATTTTTTTAAAAAAGTTAAAAACTAACCAAGTCCGATCGCCTCAGATCCTTTCATAATTCGCAAACGTTTACAAGAATTAACGAACATCCTATAGATTTTAAAAAGTAATTAATTAATACTAATCAAGTAAGTATTAATAAAAAAGTTAAACGAAAAAATAACTTACTCCCATGGGACATCTCCAACGAGCATCCAATCTCCATCTTTGTCTTCATAAGTAGGAACATACTCAGAACCATTCAAAAGGTCTATTAATTTGCTTTCATTCATAAAGTCTTTCATTCCTTGTGATCTATAGTTATCAATAGTGAAGGAGCTGAACATTTTGCTCAATGCATCGGAGAGTTCTTGGTAACTCTTGTAAAGTTTCAAGTGTACCTTGCGTAGATAAGGTGCACCATCCATGCTGACCTTAACAAATGCCGCGACTGCGGTGGCTGTAATGTTTCCAGCCTTTTTGCTGTCGCCTTCCTCCTCGGAACTGGCTTTTTGGACAGCCATGATGTTCTTCCGGAAGGACCTGACTGGTGGCCATCCCACCACTTGTGCCCTAAAAAAAGAAAATCAAATATTCCCTTAAGTTATTACAAGGAAATAAAATAGAATTATTGAAAGTGCAAGACTTTCTTAGCCACTTTCCTGTTGAAACCTTTTGAATTATTGTTTGGTTGGTGAGAAAAGCACTAAAGATTCCACATGTTTTGATGTTTCCCTCTTCTTCCCGACAAACAACCGAAGCCATCAAATGTCAAAATTAAACCTTCTTTTTTTCTTTTCATTTTACAAGATCAAGATCCAGTATACGAAGACTCATCCTCTTCAAGTTCAAATTAATGTTTAACAAAATTCTTTAAATAAAACTATGATAAACAAGAAATTGATTTCACTGGAAATATAAACCTCATGCAATGAACCTTCTTTCTATATTTTTAAAAAGGGGAAACAAAACGAAAAAAAATCATAAAAATTGAAAAATAATTGTAGCTTACTTTTCAGGTGGCTTTGCAGGGTCAGTAGAACGAGGTGCAATAGAGCTCTTCTCCTTCATCTTCTCCGGCTCCTCGGATTCGGCCTCCTTTGCCGATAGATTAAGCTTCAGATCAACTGTCTCCGAAAACCCTCGTTTGCCGTTATATTTGATTGTTTCACCATCGTTTCCCTTGCCTCCGGGCAACCCTAAACGTAACTCCGTCTCTTCGAAATTAATTGTGTGATACTTGTCATGCTCCGTGCCCATAATGCTGGTCATTATGATACTTGAACACAAACTTTTACGCGAAAAATCCTTCCACCTTCAACTTTAATCCTTTTCTTTCTCTCGGAATCTATCTCTCGCTTTTTTTTTCGTTTGTAGTGTATTTTCTTGAGGAATCGCAAATGAAGTGGGTAGGAGAATATGTGAAAATGTTGGGAAAGAAGGCCCGCATGGAATTGTGGGAAGATAATTATATGGTTTTAAGAATGCTCTCAAAGGTCATGATGATGCCACGTGGAAGTTGATGTCATGAATGATGTTATATTTAGAATTATTATAACTAGATGATACGTTAGACAATTTAAAGTTCAAATTTTAATATTGTGTATAGAGTAAATTAAATTGAAAGAGTCATCACATAATGAATTTTTATAAGATTTAATCTTATTTAATCAATAATAGATAGAATGTTATTAGTTAAATTAGAAAAATTATTATAATAAATCAAGTGAATATAGATTTTATTAAATTTAAATAATTATTATTTAAATTTGATCATATATATACATACATACGTAGCATATGAAAAATTTATTTTTCTACTTAATATAATGGAACATTTAAATTAGCGAATCAGATTGGATCTTAAACAGACAAACAAGCTATTTTACCTTTATTTTCTATTTGGACAACATACAAAGTTGGTGCTGCTTGCCTTCACTTTCTTTCTTAGGCTCCCACCAAATAATGATGGCAGTTGCACTAAAAAGAATGGAATTTGGTTTTATACTTTTAATTTCACCAACAATTTAATTAATTTCACTTCCTTTATTAAACCTTGCTTAATTGCTTTTACAGCATGATCGATAATGAATAAACTAATTGATTATTAATTCATTTGAAGAAAAATAAAATGTTTCATAAATTTGATTAGGGTTGTATCACGAAATGACTGAAAAATTATTTTTATAAATGATAATTAATTTTTTTTATATAAATCCATCTTATCTTTTCATTTTTTATAGTATTTAAATAAAATGATATAAAATTTTTATTTAAAGATCATTTCTTAAATGAATATTATAAATATTTAAATTTAGATTTATATAAGATTTATCCTTTACATACTTATCCACACTCTACCCACTTCTGTAGTAACGTTCAAAAGCTCATAATACCAGGGCCCATTTAGGTGCACACTGTAATTTCACAAAAACAAAATGGTAAAAGGCAAAAGAAAACATTAAATACAATCCTTCAAATAAAATATAATTAATTAGATTTATTAATTTTCAACCTCTTTAAAAGCAAGTCTCAACTAGGCTAATTGTTATGTGTAACTAAAATATACATAAATGTAATAAATATAATACATTTAAATTATTAAAAAATATATAAAGATATGTCATGATTAAATAGCACATGTTCATATTCTTTTTCATTTAATTTTTTTTAAAAAATAGATTTTTATTGAAGTCAAAATATTCTTAATCTTTCATGTTTATTTTTAACCTATAATAGAGAATTATAATCTAATTTTATCTCATGTGATTTGATTTGAACCAGTCAAGTGGGAATGATTTTATACTCTTATATTGATACACAATTGGAACATAAGATTAACTTAAATTAATCGTTTTAGGCATGATTAATGATTTACATTGAATTTCATAAATTAATTTGAAGGATCATTTAAGCCCAAAATATACTTTTTTGATATATTAATTTAAGGCTGTGAACTTGGAAGGAATAAATTTTTAATATTTTAATATTTTTATTATTTTAACGGGTGATTATGACACGTAAAATAATGTGTATAACATTATTATGGTATCATGTAAAATCTGAAGTCTCAATCTTTATTAGTTTGTACCAAGACCTAATTGACACCAGCCACCTTAATTTTAAACTGAAGAAAAAAATAAATAAAATAAATATGTAATAATTATTATATATATTTTTAAATAATCTGAATAATTATAAGATAATATTTATTTTTATATTATTATTTATATATTTTTATGTGTATGGCAACAAGAAGCAAAGATCCGAACTTTTTATTTATTTTTATTTTGAAAATAAAGATTCGAATTTAATCAATGCAAAAATGTGACACAATATTAAGGAGACGTTTGGTTCAGGGTATTTCACATTATCGGGGGAATGAAATGTCATTTTCCCGTTTGGATTGCAAACATTCCTAACCCCCGGTAATAAGTTATTCACAACAATGATATTTTGGGGGTATATTACCGGGAATGTGATTTCCCCCTTCCCTTAGATATTATTACATTCCCGGTGTTTTGGACTAAAATACCTTTAAAAATTTTCAAAAATATTTTTCTTCTGTCATTGAATAAAAAAATTCTACGAAGGTTAAATTATAAATTTATACTTAAACTATTTTAGATTTACAAAAAAAAAATCATAATTAGAATTTTATATGAAGTTCAAAGGTTAAAATAAAATTTTACCCTTTCATTAAACCTATTTATCTTTTCAATTTTGTAAAAAATTATATAAATTTTATAAATTTAATATTTTTAAAGAAAATATATAAATTAATTATAGTAAAATTATAGTAGAATTCAACTTGTTAAAAAAACAAATATATAATAAGAATAATTTGGTAAGATATACATTTTAATAATCTTTTATTCCTTTAATAAAATATTGTAATCATACATTCCTGCTAAAGAACCAAACACAACATTTATAGTAATCTTATTTACGCCGGTAATCCTATTCTCTTCGATAATTTTATTTCTATCTATAATCTTACATTTCATGAACTAAACACAATCTAAAATGAAAGGATGATAAGGACAAGCCTTGAGCTCCAAAACAAAACGAAATAAAAGAGAGCCCTTCGCTAGCCGTTCTACAGTGAGAAATGCTCTGCCCCACAAAAGCCCACTGTCACTATCCTATATGACCCCACACGTGTGCAACCTTATCTATCTATAATGTGAATATCCCACTTTATAATTTCCTATCAATAAAATGTAATATCCTATTATTAAATGTGTCAAGATTTTAAATTTGTTTAAGTATCTCATTATATCTAAATAATTCAGTTGAATTTATTATACTCTTTTCATCTAAGGATGAATCGAGAGGATTTATGAGAATCGTTTCTATAAAAAAAAAATTAAAAGGTATAATATTAAAATTAGTGTCCAATATTTATTAAAATGGTTATTGTATTCTATATTTTTGTTAGAGTATTTTATCTCTTAATGTTTCATTTTGGGACTTTGGGACAAAAAGATCCTTATGTGAATGAAAATCATTAATTAACAAATAATAAGTATTAAAAAAATAGGTACTTTTTTACTCTAAGATAAAATGTTGAAGGCTAAAATACTTTAAAAAAAAGGAATAGAAACTAAAATGATAATTTTAAAAAATATTGGAGACTAATTTTAATATTATACCAATTTTAAATTATCATATAATTTAAACATTTTTTAATAATTTATTTTTATCCTCTAAATTTTTTTGAGTTTATTTTTACATAAAATTATACGTGGATCTCTATTTTCATTTTTACTAATCTTATAACTCATTCATATCTTAAAATTTCATTTTTTTTTGGGATTGAATTATCATTAAAGACTAACATTACATATATAAAAGTAAAAATTAACTAAAACTATAATTCAGTTAATCATATTATTTACTTAATGTCTTAGATTAATTGAATTATATGATTAAATGTATATATGCTACCTATCAAGGACAAACAGAGCTAGTAAGAGGGGAGGTGGCCTCTTAAATTTTTTTTGGTATATAGCATTTTAAATCATTTTTAGTTTTAATTTTTTTTTTGTGATTTAAATAATTTAATTTCTCTTAATGTTTGATTTTTAAAAAAAAATTCGTCTCTATCAACAACGATAATAATCAATAAAGCTCACGAGTGATTTGTCGTCCTCTTGCCCTAACAAGGTTTTGATTGTGAAATTGAATTGAAGATTTGAAGTGCGTATTTATGTAGAATAATAGAAATTTCTTTATTAATTAAATGCTTTGAATTATTATGGCTTGGATGTTTACTATAAAAAAATTTACAATAAAGTAGAATCCAGGGGCCACCATGAACAGAATTGTGAAATGTTGAAGAAGATGCTTCAATCTTAATTTATGATGAATTTGATAAAATATAAACCACAACTAATTAAGAACTGTTTACTTGTTGGGAAACAAAGGAAATTAAACAATAACGATATAGAGATGCTGCTAAAGAGAATATTAATAAAAAAAGGATAAATACAAATTAGACAAATAGTCATTTTGGCTTTTCTTTATTTTATTTTTGTAATTAATATCAAGTCAATCAAAATACATAAATTTACAAATGGTTTTTAGTATAGATTTTTTTTGAACTTTAAGACGTCAGCTTTATTCCATAACATAAATAAAACATAACAAAAGTTGTTCCCCGCCCTAAATGGGAGACAGCTAACCTGATAACAATAACACGCGTTCACCAAAAGCAAATAAACACAAAATTAAAACCTCTTGAACTGGCCCTTCCTCTTATGCCTTCAAGCATTTCCCTTTACACGAACAGACCGAGAAGAAAATAGAACTTAGATATAGCCAAAGCATGAAACCGACTGAATCTTCATTACATATGGTGGTTCAATCTGTAACATCCTCAATACCGGATTAATGACTAAATTTTAAAGTCTCAGAATTTGGTGGTTAAAATAAAATGAATGAATAATATAAAGATTTACATGTGAATTATTGTGTATGATGGAATTAAAAGTAAGAAGGAATGGAAGGACAATAGAGTAATTGCACGGAAAAATAATTAAAGAAAGGATAAGTATGTATATATAAGGATACACGTGGGTTGAAGGGGAGAGGACACCCAAGGCTTCCAGAGTTCTCTTCTTCTTCTTTCTTCTTTGTGCGTGTGAACCAAAGCAAAGGTAAGATTTCTGATTATTGTGTTTCTTGTTAAATTTAAGATTTGTTTTTGATTATTAGATGATAACTAAGCTTAAGGAAAGCTTAAGTTATCTTAACATCAAAGGATGATGGATATAGGAGAGATTTAAGATTTGAAGTTCTTAAATGAAATCTTGGAATAGAGTTCATAACTATAATTGAAAGTTAAATTTGACTTGTCATCAATCTAGTTAAGATATACGAAGTGTTAAAGTGGAATTCAAACATGTTGAATTATTGATGTAATTCTTGA